TATTGCCAATCCAAGTTGGTTTCTAAGTTTAGGCGATCACAACTTTTGCTTAATGCCAAACCTCATAGCGACATAATTGATGATAGACCATTATTTTGTATTATTAATATATTCAAAATATATTTTTATATAAAAGAAACAATATTTAGATTGTCTCCAATATGAGTACGAATGCAATATGAGCAAAATTTGCTTTCTATTAGAGAACTTTAAGTTCAAAATGATGTATAACTATAAAATAACAAGACCAGGTAATTTGTAATTTTTTGTCTGTAACTGGTATATTATGACACGGCAATTACATTTACTTACAATAGCATAAATTAAATAACTTTAAATACATGACCAAAAATCCAACAAAAAGGGCTATCTAAAACAAATTGTCTTCAAACATTATAGGTTACAACGTAAAATATAGAATATAAAGATCAGTCTCAACAAGTCTCATCCAATAGGAAACACATTGAATACCTACATAAAACATAAAATAAAAATCATTATTCTCAATTGTGTTACAAAATGCAATATAGAATGTGAATCCTATGTATTACTTTAATATAAAAATTCAATCATATGTATTACTCTAACATCAATAACATATTTGATGGATATAATAATTACACGAACATGATTATTATGAAAAATAACACTAAGCCATGATCCAATGAAAATAAAATTCAATGAGATAGGTATTTCAATAAAACAGATTTATTGAACTAAACTCCCCTAAAATATATTCAAGTTCGAAAGACATCCTTGTATGACCATTAAACTAAACTACCCTAAAACAGAGCCTTAACCAATAGTTTGGTCCAGCCTCTATGTCAAACAGAGAATGAAAAATCATTTCTTGACATCAAATTAGAGATCTTACACAAAATAGAAAGAATATCAAAGAGGTTAGACATACTGTAAAACTAGGGCTTATACAAAAGTCAGGAAACATAAACAAGAAAAACCTAAAGCATGCAAAGTGTAATAGACAGAAAACAGTGAAAAAAAGGATAAAAGTGATTAAACATTAAAAAGCAACAAGGATTACATAAGCAATTTCATATTGGTCCTCATGCAATTGCATAATGTTACTTATGCAAGTACTTAATAGTAATGCAATTGACAGACAGAAATAAACTAAACTCAACACGAGAAATGCAATCAACTGCCAAAACTTGGCCTTTAATTGATTTCTAAAAGAAACTACATTGCTTAACTATTTTCTGAGACTACCAGAATTAGAAATTTTGTCTGCATTGCATGAGTTGTGTTATTATTTAGATAGTACACACATACATCACAAACTACAACATAATTTCTGCTCTTCTTTTTGCCAATCAGTGACACTATTTATGGTCTTAATAGCATAATGCACCACACATCAAAAACTTGTGTTTTCTAAAACAATTGCACTATAAGTTTCTGCTCTTGTTCACCTGCACCTCCTATTCAAATTATATAAACGAGTTCACATAAAGAAACATGGAAGAAGACAATAACTCAAACAAAATCCTACATGCAAGCATTTGTTTTGTGCATGTCATAGTAAAAGCAGCAGCCCCAAATAAATTCATTCATTATCCATATCATACACAAGTACATTATTAAAATAAAAAAGCCACCAAAATCACCACCCAATTTATTATTAATGATATGAAAAATATGAATGAAAATTTGAACATTTAATATGAACGTAAGGAGTGCCATCCATATTCAACACAATATATATATCAATGGAAATTTCAAAATTTATGAAAAATATTTATTACCAGGCATAAATCGTATAATATGAATGATAAATAAGAAACAAGTTCTAAAACTTCAAATTGGCCTGCCAAAAAATGGAATTTATATATAAAATTGCACACCAAGCGGATCTTGAGAGCAAATCCAACTAATAATAAAGTAAACTTGGAATGCCAAAAAAATTCAACAAAAAACCCATAAAATATTAGGCTAAACAAGAAATGGAAGATAATAAAAAAGAAATATGAAACAAAACCAAGGAAAATAATTGTTGCTGAGGAATGGGATTTCAGTAAATCTTAAATCTGTGATGAGATGGGGTTCAAGATTCGAACATGCAGCAGTAAGATATTATACATGGGTTGAGATTGAAGATGCCGCACGCAGTTTGCATCAAGCCTTTGTTACTGTCGAGAGAGAGGAGAGCTTATCAGTCTGTGTATGGGAGGAAGACTCAGTCACTGCCGTGGAGAAATAGAGGAGTCAATGTGTGAGATAGGTTGTTTGTTGGTTGCCGTCGACAAAGTGATAAAAGAGTGGGAGCTTTTCTGTTTCTGAAAAAAAATCCCAAATGAGATGAGGGATTAGGGTTGAGAGGAAGAGATGCTATGGTGTAGAAAGGCCCACCATAATCTTTTCTATATACCCAAGAGAAAACCTATTACCTTGACTTGTTATAGCAGGTTCTCCTCTATTTTTTTTCAAATCAATTAGCATGTGCACTGCACATGCTTCATAAAGGACAAATGGCGCACCCATACGCCAGGTGCACTATAGAAGGTGCCCTAATTTGTATGGTTGTGCATACATGATTAGACGTTCCTCTATTTTCTGCAATCATTTTGTACACATTTATAATGACAAAAGCCTTTTTTCTTTTCTTTTTTTCAAATTCAAACAGTTCGACTTTACAATTAGAATTCGTGTGTGTAGAACATGGGCAAAAGTCTTCGAATCAGATGATCAATTTGCTGGTTTACAATACATCTTGGTAGATGCAATAGTGAGGAAATCAGTCCCTTATACTATTTCAACTTAAACAGTAACAGGACATACTTGAATTCATATATATATTTGATTGGACATTGATGTTTGGTTGTTAACACATCTCTTATTAATCAATTCTTTTAGTTGATTATGCCATCTAACCCCTACCATTTCTCATATTTTTGGCCTTTCATATGCATTTAGAATACTCACCGCATTCAATTAAATGTATATTTATGGTTTAAAAAGCACAATTAATTTTGATTTTTTTTCCCTTCATTAATTGTGTGTCATTTTAGTTTATCAAATTAATCATTTCTTTATATGATTTTTGGTTAAAATTGATTGGAATTTGTAATATCTGTGATATTATTTTGGATTGTAGTCAATAGGTAAAACATGGCTTTTACAAGTGATTAAAAACAAGCATATACTATGTAGTCAATTTGTTCGATATCTACACGTATGGTCATGAATCATAACTCCTACAATTTAATATATAAAATGCATCTGAAATTATGTGTATGCCACAAACAAAAAAAGAGCCATTATTTTCTTCATGGCCATGAACAGAAAACCTTTTATATATTTTAAACATCGATAAGTCTTATTGATCAACTTTCATTGCTAATTGTACAATATAATCCCTAACAAATTTTTATAATTTTGGCCTGCAATTTACATTTAAAAAGTTAATTGCTTTCAATTGAATGTATATCCATACTTAAACAACTCAATTAATTTGCAATGCCTTTCTCCCTCATTAATCGTCGTCAATGCTATTAAAGCTCAAGTGTTTTCGCTTAAATCTCTTATAGATCTTTAATAAATTGTCTTCAATTTGTTTTCAATTGATTTGACAGATTGAACTTACTTTTGTCCATGAAGTTAATACAATGCTTGATATATCTACGTTGTTGTTTGTCATGTTTGATTTTTTAACTTAATTCTATCATATTAGTTATTGTCCTCACTCTAAATTTTTTAATTCATCAACATTAACACATGACATTTTCTAACTGTATGGAACAGAGTTAAAACCTATGCTGAGGAAAAGGAGCATAAGTTGGCTCTGTAGCAAAGCCAGCAACAGTTAGATTCCCCCTTTAAACAAACATCAAAAAGGAAAAATCCCCTTCCATGACCCAAAAGCATATAGATAAACATTTGTACAAGCTATTTTGAACAATGCACAACTCAAAACTTCTCATATCTGATGTTTTTATAGCTGCTTCATCTATTAAAATATGCCCAATATTTTAAGATATCAAACAACATATAAAACATGTTATTATTTTATCTTTTGTAACTAAAACTTGGAAAACTAACCGTGATTGCACTATTTACATTTTTCAAGTATATATAAACAGAATGATGTTCCCTGCCTATTTTCATCGCTTTATACACATCTCACATAATTTTAAAACCCGCAGCATCACGCGAACACTTTTTGCTAGTGGATTCCTATATTTAAAGGGAGCTGATTTTCTCACTCCTCTTTTATCCACTTACACTCCCTTTGTTAAAAATTGTATGTTCCCACTCATCTTTTCTCCACTTACACTCCCTTTTTTGTGATAGTAAAAACTATTAAAAAAACAAAATGGAGTGTAAGTGGACAAAAGAGGAGTGGGAAAATCACCACCCTATTTAAATCATATACTATATAGCACTACTACATTTTAGTGTTTGCGCGACGAATGGTTCTTCGTCGCTCAAAAATGATTTTAGTCGCACATAATTATGCGCGACAGAAGTTTCGTCGCGCACAGTCCGTCGCGCAAAGTTCGTGAAGAAAGGATTTGCGCGACGAATAAATGTCATTCGTTGCGCAGTTTGCGCTACGTATAACAACTTCGTTTAAAAAAATATTTCGGGACGACCTCAATGTCCGTCGCACAAATATTTGCGCGACGAAATAGTGGTCGTCACTCCGTCACGCGACCTACATGAACCTTGCGCGACGAAATTTTATTCGTCGCGCATACACATTTTGCGCAACGAAATTATTCGTCGCGCATGATTAAAATATATTTGTCGATTTGTTATTTAAATGGTTTTGCGCGACGATTTACGTTTCGTCGCGCAAAAGCAATATATATTATTAAAAAAAATTTATTATTATTTGATTTTTAATTTTGTAAAAAAATAAATTTGTTTTTTTTTAAATTAAAATGAAATTACAATAAAAAAATTAATCGTAAAGAAAACATCTATTATATAAAATAAAAGAAATGTATACAAATTGTAAAAGTAATTATAAAAATAAAAAACTAATCAAATAATGTTCCAAAATCTACTTGGTCATCTGCCACATGCGGCTCGGAGGTATGGGTGTCTGCAGGGGCCGGGGTGTGCTGGGGATGCTCGGGGTGGACGGGCTCGGAGGTCGACACACCAAAATTCGGGATTGGAATGCCGGACCGCGCGAGGGACTGCAGAATCACCGACATCTGACCCTCAAGCTTGGCAACCCGCGATGTCAAAACAGTCACCTGACTGTTTGCCTGCGACGATGACCGCGGTCGAGGTTCCCTCTGTCGGGCATTCCCCATCCCCCTACAATACGTTCCCGGCCTCCTCCCGAGAGTCTGATCCAACGTCTGCGTCAAAATCTGAAATCCAGCATCATGCGGAGGATCCACAGACTCGATCGGAGTCTCGGGAGGAAGTTGGGAGGCGGACTCTTGAAGAACCAACTGGCTCCTCTCCACCATCGTCGTCTGTTTAACATTACATAAAATATAAATTCAAAAATGCATATAAATTGAAAGTGTAACATAAGAATTAAAAATACATAATACTTACATGAAGGGACTCGGCCAACTCATTCCCAGGTCGAACATAAACGTCACCAAAGACGTCGATCTCTGGGAATTTCGACCCCCCCTTAATTGAACAAGAGAAGGAAAATATTAGTATGAACAAAAGAAATTAATAATAATGACGTATTAAAAATTAAATATAAATTATATTATTCTTACCCGACGCCGTGCATCCATCCTATATGAGAAGGGCCTGGAGCCGGAATGGTGAAGAAGAATCTTCTTCTTCCTATTGCCCTTATTCACTTGGGCTTTATTCTGTTATACAAAAAATAAAACGTAATAATTGAACTATAAATAAATTAAATAATAATGAGATATAAAAAATAAAATAAACATTAAACAAATATTATTAAAAAAATACCACATAATCGGGCGCCTGAAAATGAGCGCAGAGCCACGCCCAACTATCCTCCCGCCCCTCAAGCTCCTTCGGGCAACCCTCCTGAAGAGCGACTTGCGGATCATCAAACACCTGAAAATGGTGGTGCAAGTCGCTCTTCCACTGCTTGTACCTCTCACCGAAGAGTCTGTTGACGTACGCCAAGGTCTCCTCGTTGATGTCCTCTAAGTCGTAGTTCGTCTGCAATAAATTGATTACATACATTAAGTAATAGAAATATATAAAGTTTGAAAGAAAAATAATTAAAAGATAGGAAACATACCGACAACTGGCCGCGAACTTGCATCTTGATCTCGTCAGGCATGACCTTCCAAGACTTCCATTGCATCGGGCAATGGGTTCGAACGACGTGGCCAATGTCGTGGGCCAAGGAGCTATGCAAGTCCGCCGTCGGTGCAGCCCGATGGCGCTCGTCATATCCGATGCTGATACGACTGTTGGTCACCCGGGCGAACTCGGCGTAGCCGTCACCGCCCTACGACGTCTAATCAAGTCTGACATCTGCACAATTTCATTAATCCAATGTAGCACATACAATGTCATTAAAAAATTGAACTAACTAATTAAAATCATAGTTTGACCTAGGGTTTGCGATTTCGGAGTATCCGGGACTCCGATCCACGATCCGTCGAATCCTAAACGATCCTATAAATACATGGTACCACATACGTGAGTTTCAGCTGGATCCAACGGTCCGAACATATCAAACCCTAAAATCGCACAATAGGTTCGAACCGTTCGAGACTCAAACGATAACCAAATTCCAATCCGAGCACACCTACGCGCTCGTGACAACGAAATGTTTGCACTGGGACAAAATGCCCTATGGCACAGTACCCCACGCGCCACCACACGCGCCGGCAGCGCGTGGGTGCCCTAAGCGATAACAATCACCGGGAAATCCTAAAAATTAAGGGCCAAGGTTCCTACCCTAGGTTGAAAACATCAATTGGAGGCACTTTTGTTCTCGGACCTACCCCGAAAAAACGGACGGAAGTGGCCGGAATTTCAATTTCAAAACCGGCCGAAACCTAGGGTTTCAAATTCACTACCCTATGCACACAATCAATCAAATCCTACACAACCATCAGCTAGAGCATGAAAAATAGCCCAGAAAGCATACCTCAATTGCCGGATTTGGTGCCCGGAGGAGAGAGAACAACGGCGGCGAAGATTCGGCCTAAACGGAGGAAATCACGGCGGCAGGATGGACGGCGACGGCGGAGAAGCTCCTGGGTTCGACGGTGGCGGCGGCACGGTCTGAATTGGGGCGGAGGTCACGGCGGAGAGAAAGGGAGGAGGATTTGAGAAATTAGGGTTCCGTTTGAGAAATTGGGGAAGAAGAAGAAGATCGCGATTTTCAGATTCGACTTTGCGCGACGAATACATAAATCCGTCGCGCAAAATTCATTAAAATAACTCTTGCGCGACGCAAAAATAAACTTTTCGTCGCGCAGTATTATAAAAACTTGACCTTTGCGCGACTTAAAAACGTACTTTCGTCGCGCAACGTTGTGAAAAGATACACTTTGCGCGACGAACAAACTAGTGTCGTCGCGCAAACTTGTCCAGCCGCCCAAAATTTTGGGATTTGATTTTGCGCGGGGAAAATAACAGTAATGAGATTGCGCGACGAATACAGATTCGTCGCGCAATATAGCTGTTGCCAAACAAAATGTCGCCAAGTGTCGGACAGAGAAGGGCTGCAATTATTAATTTTGCGCGACGAAGGGACATATGTTCGTCGCGCAATCTGGCTTTTCCAAAAAAAATTTCACCAAGTGTTGGAGCGGAGAAGGGCAGCGAATTTTTTTAATGATTTTGCGCGACGAAGTCACACATGTTCGTCGCGCATTCTGGCTTTTCCAAAAAAAATTTCAGCAAGTGTTGGAGCGGAGAAGAGCAGCGAATTTTTTTAATGATTTTGCGCGACGAAGTCACATTGTTCGTCGCGCAATCTGGCTTTTCCAAAAAAAATTTCACCAAGTGTTGGAGCGGAGAAGGGCAGCGAATTTTTTTAATGATTTTGCGCGACGAAGTCACACTGTTCGTCGCGCAATCTGGCTTTTCCAAAAAAAATTTCACCAAGTGTTGGAGCGGAGAAGGGCAGCGAATTTTTTTAATACTTTGCGCGACGAAGGGGATTATGTTCGTCGCTGAAGTTTTGCGCGACGAGTAAGAGTGTGTTCGTCGCGCAAAACCATTACCTTGTACCCTAAACCCTAAAACCTGTACCCTAGGCCCTAAACCCGAACTCCTGAACTAGTTTCAATGATCCAACCGGCAATCTTCTTTTTTCATAGTTCAAGATCGTATACGTCAAAAATCATAATGAATGAACATTCAGAGATTGAGTAACGGGACAAAACTTTTCGACGGTTCTAAACAAATTGTCCCGATTCAACGGTGATTTTAACTCCGATCTTGAAAAATTTTTACAGCTGCGGTTCTTGACCCTATATGAATACAGAGATGTAATTCGATCTTCAATTTCAGATATTTACAGTACAGGACATCACATAATCTTATGTTAGACTGAATGAATGTATAAAGAAATTATTCAGTTTTTATGAATATTGTGTTTTTATGGAATACGCATTCTAGGAAACTAGTTTTAGTAATCTAGCCGTCAAATATGTTTGTTTATACTTCGAGATCGTATACGTCGAAAATGAGAAAAAAAAACATTCAGAGCTCAAGTAACGGGACAAAACGTTTCGACGGTTATAAACGAAAAGTCATGATTTAACGGTTATTTTGACTCTGATTTTGATGATTTTTTACAGCTATACTGTTTAACCCTATGTGAATACAGTGAACTACTTCGATCGTCAATTTCAACTATATACGTGTGTATATATCAGAAATATATATATGTGTATATGTTTGCGCGACGAGGTTTGTTTTTCGTCGCGCAAAAGATACTTGCGCGACGAAATTATTTGTCGCGCAAATAATAGAGTATGCGCGACGTGTACGTTGTCCGTCGCGCAAAATTTGCGCGACAATTATGCCTTCGTCGCGCAAGGTTATTTTCATTCACATATTATTAATCTGAATTATTCATCATTACATATAATTAATTGTATGAAAGTATGATTTATTCTATTTTCTTTTGATTTGAGAATGGAAGGATTCTTGATAATCTTGGTTTTTGGATTCATTTTTTCGGTTATATGGTTTTCATTTTTTAAAAGTTTTTTGTGAAAATAAATTTAAACTTTATGATACAAATTACTTGGATATATTTATTTACCAATGGTTTATAACTACATTTATTTTAATAATGTTTCATTTCTGCACATATATAATGTTTGGATATAACAAGTACATATATTAAAACATTTGCATTACACAAAATATGTCCACTAACATAATAAAATTACAAAAAAAATTAATCATTCATCATCTGAACTATAATAACTTTCGTTATCGTTGCTATCATTACTTTCGGTCTCCCAATCCTCTTCCTCCTCCTCCTCCGCATCCTCTATAACTACATCATCGTCGTTGCTTGGGCCAACTGCAACATCATATCGCGGAAGATCACCGAGGTCAATTGTAATTGACTGAATCGGTATTTCGATTGAAGACACTCCTTGTATTTGAAATGGCTCTTGTATAACATTAGTATCTCGAAGTGTTTCCGCATCATTTTCCATTGAAGATTCTAAACGTTGGTCAGCCACATTGTTGACGTCGTTGTCAGTTGGGTCTAGTTCTGGTATAGCATACACGTTCCTGTGATCCATCTTTTGAACAACGTTCCAACCGCTTCCGGCTTTAGGGTCATCTAGATACACAATTTGTGTTGCCATGTTTGCCAAAATATAAGGGTCGTCATCATACCAAGTTCTGTTCATGTTCACAGATAGTAAGCCATGATCGATTTTAACACTTCCCGGCCTATTTGGGTTGGTGTCAAACCATCGACACTTAAACATGATCACTTGGTATCGATCTTTGTAAAGCAATTGCACGACAGTTGTGAGTTTGCCATAGAAATCAATGTCCGTACTTTCGCCTCCACCTGGGACATGGACACCGCTGTTTTGCGTACACAACTTGTCATCTCGTGCTTCGGCCAAAAATTTGACGCCGTTGACATTACAACCCGAGAACAATTCAGCGCGAATCGGGCCGAACGCCAAGTTATATAACTCATCACTGTAAGTTGGGGAATTTTTTGATTTCAACTTATTCACCTAATATTATACAAAACCATTCATATGTTAGTCTGACAAAATTAAAAAAAAATTTATATTTCTCAAATAACAAACACTGATAACTTACAGAATCCAAAAACCATTGTGGAAACAATTCACGGTGTTTCTGGGCAACCAAATGTGATGGATGTTCTTGCTTCATCATCTCTTCATGCTCATATAAGTATCCCATGATCTCATCACAATTGTTCAGTAAGAACCAATGCGCTACCTCCATGTCATTTCTAGAAAACGACTTTCCGCGTCCAGGATCTCCGAAGGGTCGTGCGGTTTGGGCAAAAACAGAAAGTTTTTCATTTCTCATACCTCCATCATGATTGCGCTGAGGACGATTGAAAACCGTCTCCACATCTTTTAAATACATTCCGCAGAAAGTAAGCGACTCATATTGAACCCAAGCCTCTACGATTGATCCTTCGGGCTTCGCCCTGTTGCGTACACTTTTTTTCAGCTCTCCGAGAAACCTGCCAAAATAAAACGATATGATTGAAATTAGCAAGCATGTGATAATGATGCATACACAAACGATAAGGATTATATACCTTTCTATTGGATACATCCAGCGATAGTTGACAGGACCAGCAAGTAATGCCTCTTCTGGCAAGTGAACCATCACGTGCATCATACTTGTGAAGAAAGCTGGAGGAAATATCATCTCAAACTTGCATAGGACTTGGACAATGTCATGGCGCAACTGAAACATGTCCGTTTTTCGCAAAGTTTTTGCCGTCAGTTGGGAAAAAAATCTGGACAACAAAATGATTGGCTTCACTACATCTTCCGGCAATAGGTGTCGAATACCAACAGGAAGTAGGCGTTGCATAAACACATGGCAGTCATGGCTTTTAAGTCCAGTAAATTTACCCCCGTCAACATTCACACAACGTGCGATATTAGAAGCATACCCATCGGGAAACTTTACTGACGATACAAACTTTAGAAACTCTTTCTTGTCATTCGGTTTCATAGAAAAGAATGCAAGATCCCTTCTAGCTTTATCATTGTCCCTATTCATCCATAAACCCCTTCGTATGCCCATTCTTTCCAAATCAAGACGAGCTTTGATCGTGTCCTTTGTCTTCCCCTCGATATCTAGAATCGTGCCCACCAATGTGTCGAATACATTTTTCTCAACATGCATCACATCTAGATTGTGCCTCAATTTTAGTTTCGACCAATATGGGAGCTCAAAAAACATAGGCTTGTGCGTCCAGTTCATATGTGTAGAAGGTCTGATACGACTAACTGTTTTCCCGAAGGGAGCAAAATCCAACCGGTTAAGCTGGTCCAATATCTCATCACCGGACCATTCTCTGGGTCTAAGGCGACGCTCTGTGTTCCCGTCGAACTCTTTATCTTTTTCCCTCCACTCATGGTCCCATGGCAACCATCTCCGATGACCAAGGTAACAAACTTTTCCAGCATGCCAACCAGAAGTTACATCTTCCTTGCATACAGGACATGCCATATAACCTTTTGTGCTCCACCCAGAAACCATTGCATATGCTGGGAAATCATTCACAGTCCACATAACTGCTGCCCGCAAAGTGAACATCTTCCCAGTTGATTTATCGTACGTGCGAACACCGTTTGTCCACAAATCCTTCAGCTCATCAACCAGCGGCCTTAAGTAAACATCGATTGACCTCCCAGGATCCTCAGTTATCAAAACAGTCATCATCATGTATTCTTTTTTCATGCATTTCCAAGGCGGCAAATTATATGGGAATACGAAAATCGGCCAAGTGCTGTGGTGTTGGTTTAGAACCCCATACGGATTGAATCCGTCAGTGGCAAGTCCCAATCTAACATTTCGGGGATCAGCAGCAAACTCGGGGAACGTTCGATCGAACTCTTTCCATGCCTCCCCATCTGCAGGATGCCGCATCACATCATCGTCTACCCGTTTTTCCTGATGCCATCTCATGTCTGTGGCAGTATGCGTCGACATATACAATCGCTGCAACCTAGGTTTCAGGGGCAAATAACGCATGACTTTTTGTGGGATCTTAGTCGTCCTATTCTGAGATGTCATCTTGAACCTCGACTCATTGCATATAGGACATGTATCCAACGATTCATGCTCTTTGTAGAATAACATGCAATTGTTTTTGCAAGCATGAATTTTTTCATAACCCAATCCAAGACCATTCAACACCTTCTGCGCCTGTTTATGGTCTTTCGGCAAACAATTGTCCGTCGGAAGCATTCTCTTGAAAACCCCCAAAAAGTAATCGAAACACAGGTTCGACATACGATACTTTATTTTTCCGTGCATTAGCTCCACAATGGCCGTGAGAACGGAAAAGCTCTCGCACCCCGGGTATAACTCTTGGTTGGCATTTTTTAACAATTTCTCATATTGTTCAAACTCCGCACTGTCTATTGGTGTAGGCACATCATCTTGCTCTTCTTGATTCATGTTGGTCGATGCAAATGGAAAAACATCCTGTATAATATCCATGACTTGATCATTAGCATCCACAATAGGTTGAACATTGTCCACTCTTGTGGCATTTGAAGACGAAGCATGCTCTAATTGTTCCCCGTGAAGGTTCCAAATGCTATATGTCTCAATCATTCCATTCCTTACTAAATGAAATCCAACATTTTCAATTGTCTCCCATAACGTGTTGTTGCACCTCCTACAAGGACAACGGATTCTAGTTGCACCCGGGTTGTGTCTATGTGCAAACTCAATAAAATCCTCGATTCCATCCAAGTATTCGTCTGCGCATCTGTTCGGGTTCTGTATCCACCTTCTGTCCATAATTCCTGAAACCAGAATCACAACACAACAATCACAACAACTTCATACGAAGTTATAATGTCACCTTATGCCTCCGGTAAGGGTCCTATCCCATTCGGGAATGCATACTCCTGCCACGTAACCTACGACTACATGAGATTAGATTTCGACGTGGATGAATTTCGCCAGCATCTCGCTACAGTTCTTGAGGTGGCCATAGGTATAAATACCTACGTACCACCCGAAGAACGTACCGAGATGACAACGAAATATCCACAATCGAAACCTAATCCTGTAGCCATAGATTACGTGACAACACTATGCATTACCAAACTGTCCAAATAATGGGACAATTCAAGAATTAATTGGACCGCAGTCATGCATTACGCATCCATGCACGAAATCCAACTAATCTCGAACGGGAAACTAAGTGTTACTAAACATAAAAATAAAAGCACGAAGTTAATTTCAATTAACTTCGTACATCACAACAGATTGTACTACGTTACACACAACATAATATAAATATAACTTCACAAGAACATTTTAAACATAACAAATTAACATTATTAATATATAAAACAAATAAAATACTTTCTCAATCGTTCTCCACCAATCGCTAATTACAAATATCCCTAACGAAAACAAATTAAAAAACCTTAGTACGCACTTAAATTAATACTTTTAAACTAATGACGAAAAATACTTACCCAATCAATGTATTGAAATCCCAGCAGTGGCAGAGAGGTTGAGAGAGAAGCAGAGGCAAAATGCTTTGTTTTTGCATTCTGCCTCTGCAATGGCAGAATTCTAATATGAAGAAGAAGGACTTTGCGCGACGAACATACTTATTCGTCGCGCAAACTTCCGTCGCAAAAAACCAAATCATCCGTCGCGCAAACCATTTTTTCCGCCGCGCAAACACCTGCCGACATCTAACTTTTGCGCGACGCTGGTACTTTCCGTCGCGCAAAAGAACATAATCGTCGCGCAAACGTTGAACTTTACGCGACGAACAGTAGTTACGTCGCGCAAACAAAAATATCTCAACCATGTCATTTTGGCGCCAAAAATAAAATATCTCTCGTTCTCTTACGCGACGAAACATCTTCCCGTCGCGCTAAATAAGGGGACCCACTGGGAACTGTCCTTTTTGCGCGACGGAACACTGGTTCGTCGCGCAATGTTGCCTTTAGCGACGATATTTCTCGTCGCGCAAATGTTTCGCGCCAAAACATTCCCCCCGCTTTTTTTACCTCTGTTTGCGCGACGAAAAATTTTGTTGTCGCGCATATACATTTTTTGCGACGAAAAATTTTGGTGGCGCAAATTTTCAGTGGATTGCGCGACGAAGACTTTCTTTCGTCGCGCCTGTATGGTTTGCGCGACGACTTATTATTCGTCGCACAATCTTTCGTCGCGCAAATGGTGAAACGTAGTAGTGTATGCATAAAAAAAATTTCTTATAATCTTAATTATTTACTTAAAATATGCCATGTCTTAAGATTGAGAAGAATTGCCACAATAATATTTGAGTTTACTGTGCATGATTAATTACTCCAGGGGAGGGGTTAAAAAACGCTGTATCATAGCTTAAGATTTAGAAGCTATAAAGGAATTCCATATAATTGCAATTACAATTGGTGACTGCCATGCAATGCAATCACTAAAATTACTAATTTATTTCATTCAGATACAAAGTTTTTATGGTTATTTTTCTAAGAAATATGAGCTAAAAGGGTCCCATCCCATGGATATTTTATTTCATTTCAAATTTTTCTAAGAAATATGCGACGAAACAAGTTGTTTAGCATGATCCAATTGATTCTTCTGATTCCCATATTGCAAAGACGAGAAAGAGGCCCGCACAGAATTGCCAAAGTACCCAATTCTCACGTGCACATTATTGCCAAAATACCAAATTCTCACGTGTACATAATTATATTTAAATATAGTAATAAACAGTCGCAGAACCAGAATATTTAATCGAAAGGACAACCTTAGACAATATAAACATTTTTTTAAAGTCATTATTTGACCTTCTGTCTGTCTTCACACGATCTCTCCTCCATCAGCCACTATCTCTCCTCCACCAACAGCAGGAGCAGGAGCAGCAGGAACAGCAGCATCAGCACCAGTAACAAATCGCCGGAACAGAAAGAGAGCATAGCAGGAAGGCAGCCAGCACACAACCATGAAAGCAAACCATAGCAGTGGGTGGAGGAATGTTGCAAGGGTAAACCAGTATGGAATGGCAGCACCCATTAGGAGAAGATAAACCAAGGGTGCAAAAGGGTTGCGACCCACCAGAATAATAAGCATGATACCAGATAACATCAGCGCCAGTGAAATAAATAATACCGACAAAAGAGTCAGGGCTGAACAACCGCAATTTTTGACGTTCCAAACAGGGGTAATGCATTTACAGTGTTGGAGCCCGGGAGGATTGATCCCCCCCGAATATAGAGTGGCGGAGACCAAGGTCACGACCACGAGTAAGATGTTTCTTTTTTCCACGATGTGTGAGTTTGGTTTCATGTCTGCATGGCGGAACTGCAGTGCAAGTTGAGCACACTGTTGTACCCGACCCATGAGAGAATTGAGGAAGAACAATATTTGAAACAATAGGATTAACTAGGTGGGATCTCTGCTTTTATCCTATTGGTAGGAATGGAGTTGAGAGATGCAGAGGAAGGGAGGCAGGAGCAACAATATATAGGGTTAACTAGGTAAAGAAGAAGAGATAAAGTAGCAAAAAGAAGGGAGACAGAAATTGTAAAGTAGCAAAAAGAAGTAGGGAGGAACTGGACCTGGACTTTTTTTGGGAAATCGAACTTCGGTTGTTCAATTCCTCCCTACTCGGGGTGGGTCCCACGCAGGTTCGTGGTTCCCTTATTGTAATTTTAAAACATTTGTCAAGTGACTTTCCTCAACTTGACTTGTGGTAGCTAGCGATGGTTTTCCTAAGAGCAGTTCCAAGGCCCGGCGTTCGGCGGAAAAATGCTGACGTCATCCTTGACTTGTGGTGGCTAGCGATGGTTTTCCTAAGAGTTTCCTAAGAGCAGTTCCAAGGCCCGGCGTTCGGCGGAAAAATGCTGACGTCATCCTTGACTTGTGGTAGCTAGCGATGGTTTTCCTAAGAGTTTCCTAAGAGGCCCGGCGTTCGGCGGAAAAATGATGACGTCATCCTTGACTTGTGGTAGCAAGTAATGGTTTTCCTAAGAGCAGTTCCAGCGGCAGGTTTAGGCCTGGCGTTCGGCGGAAAAATGCTGACGTCAGCAATAAAAAAATCTAAATTTTTTTAAAAAAAATTACTAAAAGTTTCAGAATGTTTTAAAAATAAATATTTAGCTATATTTTTCACTTCCCACACCAAAATTCTATACAAATTCCTCTCTTCATATCTCATATGAATAGTGGTTGCCATAGCAATGAATGGAAAGACCACAAGCTTTTTGCAATGGTTGCCACTATTCACGTGAATAGTAATAGTTATTGCATCTCCTTACCATAGCAAATGGGTGAAAGTGCTATAATGGCATTTATTTTGGTTCGAAATAAAAACTTAGTGTACATGTCACATGAGCAAAATGGCATTACATACAGTGGTGAGGCATGTCCACAACTTTAGCAGTGGCACCATGCAAATCACTTCCTGAGTACCTCTGTGTTGCACACAAATTAATCACAATAACATATTAGCCAATAAAAATACAGATGATAACTTCTTTCTTTTTCATACAGATAATAACTTCTTTCTTTTCCATATAGATTTCTAAATTTACAAATTAATGTTTGTATCTCAATGAAATAATATTGTCTAGGTAGCCTACATTTTCCATTTTCTCGACCGGCGATTGTGCTTGCTCATATTATTCATTTTCATATTTCCATTGCTGCCCCATAACAACATAATCAACAGAGAACAAAAAAAAGTTTTATCTCAAATTTTGTTCTTTTTCCTCTCTCGTACCATATGGACCACACAATATCTCACCCAAGTCAAACATAAGCAGCAGGAGAGTGATGTTGTGGCATAGATCAAGGTGAGGTGGTGAAGGCCAGTGGGAGTTACGCAGTGTCAATCTTGGTAAGAAAATGCGTTAAATCATTCTTGTATTGATTGTTGTGACTTAAGGTCTTCATCTCGTTGCACCAATTTCGACATCAAAAAATGCCAAACTCATTTTGGTTCATATGATCTGCATTCAAGGGCGGATCTACGAAGGGGCTCGACTGGGCTTTAGTCCAGTACTGGTTTTGTAGTTTAGTCTTAATTGTATAACAAAATTCATTGCATTTAGAATTCAGTCTATCCTAGCCACCCACATTAGATTTTTTTTCTTCTACCCACTGAAATCCTACCATATTTTCTATATATAAAAATATATAATCCTACCATACAATATTAATTAGCTCAAAAATTCTTGGTTATAAAAGATCTCCAAAAAAATAAATAATTTAGCCAAACTCTATAAAAATTTCTGAATCCGCCATTATCTACATTAGTTTGAATGATATTGTTTTGCTAGACTTACTAATTATCACGCAACAGAGACAGGAAGGCATGACTCTGTTTCTTCTAGAGATTGAAAACACACATTTCCATATGAATCTGATAATTGTTGAAACAAATAAATCACGATATCGAATAACTACTCTGATAATTTGATTTATATTTTTGTGTTATGTTTCAAGTCTGTCACAAGCAGTAGTTTTCTCTCTACCAAGTAATATAAAGGTCATGTACTACGTGTCCTTAACTATAATTCATCATTTGTCTTTGATGAAGAGGATATATTTGGATATTAGTCATGACAGACTAGGTAAGAAAACCAGCCACCCGAACTGAACCGGCTGGTTTAGACTCGGTTGGTTTTTTTTTCCCATTGTCTCCATCCATCGGACCAAAGCAGCATGAACTGGTTCCCATGACTCGATCACCGATAAGACCTTGTCACTCCACAACTCCAGATATAGTCAAATGATCCTACCAGGGTAGGAGCTCCAATGTCAAAACCGAGCAAACCGAAGAAACATAACCATCACTGACCATCTTGATTTAGTTCGACTCTAGCGTAAGATTTTTCAACAACTGATCTGATCCAAACTGATTTTCAACGGTGATTTGGTTGTCGGTCGGAATGCTTGGTTGGGTTAAACCGACATGTGCCCAACCCTAATTTTGAACTTTAGAAAAGAATATTTTCATTAAATAAAAACAAAGAAAGATAGTTTGAACTGTAATAGAGTCACGTGTTATTACTATCGACTGATATTATTTTATTTACTAATACTATCACATACCATAAAATATAAACCTGTCTTACACCCATATTATAATATATGGACTAGTTCACTTACACAACTCCACTCAATCATACAATGAATTTTTTCCCTCAAAAAGGGTTATATTCTCTCATATTTAGCAGGTGTAAATCTTACAAATAAACATGGGCTGGGTTTTGCGCTCAAAGATTATGCCCAGACACAAAGCATTGGCTAACCCCATGTCTTCAGGAACTCCAGGTTGCTTGGGCTTTGAGCCGTGGACCTATTTTTAAAACTTTTGAAACATAATGAGTGGACTTGTTTTCGCAATCTCCACCCGAAATAGTGGCCGATTTAGTGAAAGCAACTTGGGCTTCTTCATGAGAAATTCCTTAACTTTAAACATGGGAAATACGTGCGTACATATACAATACGAGTATTATACATTTATTTATTTTTTTAAATGTGAATTTTATCGAGTGTTTAAGACGTGTGCAAAACACAGATGTATTATTGAAAAATACGTACCTACGTGTATAATAGAGTATTAAACGTGAAAGTGCTAAATTCTTTATACAAGTAATAACTTTGGAAAAGTCAAAAATTAAAAGGGAACAATAGAGACTCGGTTAATGGCCTAATAGTAATGGATAATGCTATAAACTACTCTTATCGATAAACGAAAATCGGTGAAAAATTTTAAAATAAAAAAATATCTCTATATATATATATATATATATATATAAGAGTATAGTTGCGTGGCTATATTATTTATTAACACAAAAAAAAACAAAACAAAAAAAAGGGGTAAAGTCGCTCGGCTATACGTATTTTTTTTAAATTTTAAAAATGGAGTATAGCCGCCAGGCTATACTATTTTTTTTATTATTAACAGTAACTGTTCAGCGCCTAGGCTCCACGTGTCAAAAATGTATAGCAGAGCGGCTATATTATTTTTAAGAAAAATTAAGTGAGCTTCACTAATATACCCAAAATAGGAGCTGAAATTATAAAAAAAAACCCCACATTGAATGCATTTTAGAAACACATCCAAAACTCATTTACTACATAAGAAATTAGTGTTTAAGTTCTTATAAATTACATAATTGCCATTGATCAACTTATAAAAGAAGACCAACACAAAACACTTAAATTGCACCCAAAACAAGCCCAACCCAATTTTATATATATAAAAAAACCCAAACAATTCATTACAAACAAAAGGTCTTGAAAATCATAGTTTCATTAACATGTCATGTTAATTAATTATTGTAATGTTCTACACCTTTATTGTCATGTTGATTAATTGTTATAATGTTCCAATTTAGGGTAATAACACTGCTCTGTCATGTTGATTAATGGCTGTAATGTTCCAGTGTAGGGTAATAACACTGCTAGTTTCCTATAACATCATATTTCTAATGCATGTTTACCCCTGTAATGTTCTAGTGTAGGGTAATAACACTGCTAGTTTCCTATGATATCCTAATTTTAATGCATGTCTACCCATGTAATGTTCCAGTCTAGGGTAATAACATTGCTAGTTTACTATCATGTTGATTAATGATTGTAATGTTCCAATCTAGGGTAATAACACTGTTAGTTTATTGTCATGTTGATTAATGGTTGTAATGTTCCAGTTTATGGTAATAACAATACTAGTTTCATATGACATCTTATTTCTAATGCATGTCTACTCTTGTAATGTTCCAGTCTTGGGTAATAACACTGCTAGTTTCCTATGACATTCTATCTCTAATGCATATCTACCCGTGTAATGTTCTAGTCTAGGGTAATAACACTACTGTTTCCCATGACATCCTATTTCTAATGCATGTTTACTCCTGTAATGTTCCACTCTAGGGTAATAACACTGCTAGTTTACTATCATGTTGATTAATGCTTGTCATGTTGCTATTTCTAATACATGTCCACCAAAGAAAAGATGAAGAAATTAACAAACCAGACCAACTCAAAACAAGATGAGCCCAGATTGTTAATACTATTATGTCATAGAAGTATATTGTTAATACTCTGTCATAGAAGTACATTGTTAATACTCTTCACCGAAGTACATTGTTAAACAAAAATGAGATTCATAACTGAAATAGTAACAAAAGTTGAATCAATCATCAAAGCTTAAAATACATTTCGAAAATCAACTAAAATCCGAAGAGAAACACATAATTGAAGTAAAAGATCAAAAATCTCAAGTCCAAACCAAACAACGACGACGACGACGACGATAACAACAACGACAATGTGGCGAAAGAGGAGTAGAGCTTGAAGATGAGGAGTGGAGCTAAGAGCATCTGATCGAG